AGCTTGCATGGCGTGGTATTTACTTGTTAAAAAAAACTGGTGCAAGAGACTATAATTGCTTGAACTGAGCCAAAAATGAACTGGAAATAACTACTTTTCTTACCAAGGCAAAAAGAAAGGTTTAAACCAATGACATTCTAGCTTTGGTTGCTAGATTTGATGTAAGGGATTTTCAAGAACTTCTTAAGGTCTGATTCCTTTGTAAGACAGGATAATACTCCCTGCAGAGATGAGAGAGTTGAAATATCTTCAGGCACATCTTTTGAATAACCAGCAACAAAATATAGTATGTTTTAATTACTTGTAATGTCTTTGAACTACATTGAGAGGTAATTAGACCTCTAATGTTTCACATGCTGTTAGTTAACAAATGAGTACACTTTCTCCCACAGTAAAGCCCAAAGGAAAAGTTATTGGTAAAATAGGCTGCCTCAAGTAATTTACCAGTTAGTTAAAATCTAATCTGAGAGTAGGATTATTCAGGTCCATTAGGAACTGCTAAACATCATGATACAAGGACTATTATCCAAGCAGTTGTAACAAGTTTCTGTTTTATGAAGCTATGGTGACACAAAGGCTATAGTGTGTAAGCCCTCTCCCTAACTGAACACTTTCACACTGCAGTTTAGGAGTGTGCATTTCAGGAAATTGCTGGCTTAGGCTGAAACACAGTCCTGCTGCAAGGAAAATTTTATTTGTCACTCAAGTAATTGGCAGTTTTAGTACCTTATTAGTAATTACTTTATGAACAAACTGATGCCTAAACTAAAGCCTCTTAAACTTGTTATCTAGGCTTGCCTTCCTTGCTAGTAAATCTGGCACATTGATCATCCCTTGTTGCTCAAAGATGATTTCTTGTTTAAATAAGACCTTCCAGTTAAGAGTTAAATTTAAAAGGCTTGCACCAGACAGGCAGAGCACTGAAATTGGATGCTGACTGAGAACAATGTCTGAGGTGTAACAAAATATCAGTTCTTTTTTACACATCTGGTGTGAGGGCCAGTTAATCCACAACTTCTGGCTTCTTCTTTTTTTCAAGCCAAATTTTTGGTTTTAATGAGCGGTAATTAATCTCAGCCTTCCAACTTCTCGTAAGTGCTTATAGGGCACTACAGTTGCCAGACATCCTGTTTAAAATAGAAACAACTTATTTTGAAGTAACAGTAAGTCAATGTATTCAGAATACCCTCAAATAGCACATTCTTTTTAGTTGAGGGTGGCAGCCTGCTTCTCTCTGTGTGACTGTGGTATATTTTTCAGATATTAAAGTTTGTCTGTCGGACAAATTAAACTGACAGACACGACTAGAGGCAGAACTCTTAGGCAGCTGTGGGTAATCCAGGCAATTATTTTATTTATTAATCACCGTTCGAAGCAAATATATATGTCCCAAAGGTGAAATACCACTTTAAAACAGTCTCATAATAATAATGACTCAAAAACAGTCTCTTTATGCTTCTTTAGGGCCTTCCACAGAGCCTGCAAACCGCAGCTCTCAATCTTACCAGAGTTCCTTGTTGGAGAATCACTCTAGAGTACAGTGGAAAATTTAAAATTGCAGATAGTAGCCATCTGCCACCACTGCCAAGTATATGGGGAATTATGTAGAGGAAAACCTATCAAAGGGAGTTTTGCTCAGAGTCCCCTGGAACCATGAGTCAGTCCTGCTAAACAGGTACTTCAGGAAGGACTTCTTGTCCTCCTGGTTTTGTCCACAATTTCCAGAAAACTATCCTTGTTCTCCATTTAGGCTTCAGTGTCCTGAAATTGTGTAGGGGTAGGAGAAAATATATAGTTTTGATAAAGACTTTGCAATTTTTGTGTGTCTTCCTAAGGATGGATCCCAGTATCCACATGGCGGCATACCATCCTTAGGCAATGCTGAGAAGTGTGGAATCAATTTTTAAAACATTGTTTTTCTTCAGAAAAGGCATTGAGTAGAGTACCAGCCGGTTTGTCAAGTTGATGTAGAGGTGAACGCTGTGGGTTTTTGTTTTAATTGAGGTATTGGCTGAGATACGGCAGGTTATTGCAGCATAGTTATCTGTTGTCTTTTGACTCAGGACTGTAACACTGTCTTGAACTGAATGATCTTAAAGGAAGCAATTACTGTTTGTTTGTTTATTTTTCTTTATGGGATAGTAATTGGAACACTACGGCCACAATCCTACTGGTGTTTTTCTGAGGTTTGTATAACTTGCTGGGGTATGTCTTGGTTGAAGAAAGAATACTGAAGAAATAAACACTAATTGCATGGCTGCAACTGAGATGCACCCCAGCACTTGTCAGTTACCTGCAGCAAATTACACAGACCTTATGCAAACATGAGTAGGATTCTCGCTGGATTTGGTTCCTTCACGTAAAGGAATTCTATTTTGCAGGAAGGGAGCCATCTCACTCCATTGCAGCAAAAACAGTGAAGAATCTCATGGCACCTTAAAGATTAACAAGTTCTATTTGACGTAAAGTTTTGTTGGCTGCATCCCATTAATACCTATGCCAAAGAAAACTTGTTACAAGACTCTTTGGCATTTTTGCCATTTTTTAAACCTTACTTTATATTTGCCAGGGTGTGGCCTCCCTAAATGCTTGGGGAGGAGGGAAACACCACATAGATCAAAGGGAGACTTGTTCTCCAGCTCATGCTGCTGCCTTGTGCTCTGTCGTGGGCATTATGGTGGTAGCAGGGTGTACAAGACAGGAATGTTTTATTCTCCAGGGTACTTACTGTCTGACAACATTCAGGTTTTACAGCCAATGATTTACTTACTATCACCTGCTATCTGTGAACAAATATCTATAGATTAAACTCTGTGGTCAGAATGTCATTGCAGTTACACAGCATGAATCAGCAGTCATGAACACTGTGTTCTGGACTACCTGTTGCATACCTGGCTGTCCCTTGAGAACTTGTGGCAAATAAAACATATTAGTCTCAAAGCTCTGCAGGTCTTTTTTGTTATTAAATTTTAGCTTGGTCTTTGATTCCAACAAAGATTCTAGAAGAAAGGGCACAGTTACAGTGGTCCCATAAGCTAATGGACATGCATACAGAAGGCCTGTCTCATTCTTCTGTTGCTTGTTTCTCATCTTAATTATGTCAGTATTCTTATTTGGCTTTCAAATTCACATTGTTCATTCTACTTCAGTACTTTCTTTTTCTTTCTTTCTTTCTTTCTTTTTACTAGTTTTCCTCTTCTGCCTTACATTTACAGTAGGTCATGCATCACCTATTCATTTATAAAAATCATTGTTTACATTTACCCGCTGGTATTCATCCTAAATACCTTTCTTCTGTTTTTTTTCCATAATCCTGCTTCTTCCTGGCACTGTTCCTTGGTGGTTGTTATGGGTTTTCCAGGCTGTTTAGCCATGTTCTTAAGGTTTTTCTTCCTAATGTTTTGCCAGTCTCTGTGGCCGGCATCTTCAGAGGACAGGAGTCAGAACTCTGTCTGTGCTCTGGTGCAGTTTGTTGGATAGTTTATAGCTATGGATCAGCTTTTGTCCTTTTCAGGAGATTGGGTTATTATGGTGATTAGTGTTTTTTGTGTGTGGGTGTATTGTTGTGATAAGGGGGAGAATGATCTGTCACTGCAATTGATGGGTGTCATTAGCTGGTCACTGGTCCTTGTGGCTGGGTAGAGTTCGTTGACCTTTTGCAGGCTGTATTTTTCAGTGCTGAGAGCCAAGCTTTGTTGAGTTTTAGGCTTCTTTTTGTTGAAGCTCTGCTGGTGTTCATGGATTTCAATGGCTTTTGTATGCAGTCTAACATAATGATTGCTGGTGTTGTCCAGTACTTCAGTATTTTGAAATAGAATTTCATGTGCAGCTTGTTTTAGGGCATATTCAGCTACTGCTGATTTTCCCGACTATTCCTTGACTTTCTCTTTCCATCTTCTTCAGACTCTTTTAGGCTAAGCTTCCTGTTTCTTAAGGATTCTGATGCCTTCTATTATTTTCTCTCACTTGGAAATATGTGCCTCTTGATATCTCTTTATTTCCAACTACTCTCATATTTTGTTTTAGTTCTCATCCCTTTTCTTACAATTCTTTACATGTGTATTACTTGTTATAATATTTGATTGGCTTCATATTTTCATCACTTTATTTGAAATGTGTTTCAAACAATTTCTCTTCTGAGTTTTCTCTCTTGATTTCCCATGATTAATATTGCTGGTATCCTTCCTTTATTCTTTTAAGTTAATAATTGTATCACTGAAGTACTTTTTCTTTTGCACTTTTCTGTTTCTCTGTCTTTTTTCTCTCTTCAGGCTGACACAGATTTTTTTCCTTTTTCTCTCAACTCCAATCTCCTGTTGTTGACTTAGTTACTTTTTAAAAGAAAAGATTGTGAGACCGTGAACAGGATTGTTTCTGTATTTTTGTAAGCACCCAGTTCATAATAGATGCTTTTCTAAATAATACATAGTGATAGTAAAGCTTTTACAAATGTGTTTGGTCTGCACTGCATTTTTTATTAACTCTTACACTCTTCTAGATTGTGCTTTAGAATCATTTTTCCACATTTCCTTTCATTTCAGCATACTTATTTGTTCTCTCCCCTTTTTGATATATACTGTATTCATTCCCTGACTCTTCCCATTATATAGACTCAGTATAAATGCTATGTTAGGGAATGGAAGGAGACGGATCTTCTTTGAAAAAAAGTTTATTGTACAATGTCTAGAATGTTAGGTGCTTTATAAACAAATGTGATATTCGTGAAGGCTTTCGTGGCTGGGATCTAATGGTTGTTGTGGGTTTTTCAGGCTCTTTCGCCATGTTCTGAAGGTTGTTCTTCTTCTGAAGGAAGAACAACCTTCAGAACGCGGCCAAAGAGCCCCAAAACCCCACAACAACCAAATGTGATATTACTTGAAATTACAGCATTTTATTTTTATGTAGAACTCTACTTCTCTATCTGAATTTCACAGGAAATTTATTTATTTTGTAATTGTTCTTGAAATAGTCTAACATCAATGCTGGTTTTTATAATGTAGATCAAGTAACAAGATTTCAGACATCTTGACTGAAGACCTGAAACCATTTCAGTCTCTAGAAACTTTAGACCTGAACAACAACAATATTTCTCTGCTGAAGATGGAATCGTTTCCTCCCCTGGTGCTCAAGTACCTGTAAGTAACTTTATTTAATAAAGCTTCCATATAAGACTAACAGAACACACACATCCCAAACTAGATCCTTTGGCTAGAAGGGGTATGAATGGGGCAGAAGTGCTTCTCTCCTAGTGGACAGGTGCTCTATCAGGAAGAGGTTTGAAATGGAATTTTTGTGGCCAAGAAGACACAGATTTGGAAAGCTCTATAGGTATATACCCATCACCATCAGTACTCCTGCTGGCGTTAGGCCTTGAAATGTTTTGTATTGAAAATGGCCCCTTACCTCTTGGATCAAAAGCCCCTTCATACTCACAAGAGTACCGTAGACTGGGCCATTCAGCTGCACCATCATTAAGGTACTGAAAGCTTCAGACAGCACTTCTTTAGTTCTACACATACAACTGTAAATTTATGTAGCTGACATAATATAGCACCTTTGATATTTTATAGATATTGCTCTCAACCCATCATGTGGAATTTAACTGCTGTGCAGAAAAATTGTCCCATGAGAATATCAACTATTTTCCTTCATTCTAGGGAAAGATGCAAGGGTAACTTATTCATGAGATTTCAGTCATATTGTTGAATGAAGAAAGATGCACAGTAGTTTTTCAACACTGCCAGGTGGCACTGTAAAATCGAAGTCCAGTGAATTTAATCTTTTCATCCCAATTTCAGAATTTTCCTCTGCTGTTTGGCAAATGGGAAATCCCTTTTGAAATTCGATTGTAAAATATAAATATCCTACATCTTCTACTTAGCCATGTATGTGTTCCCAATAATTCTTTCAGTGTAACAATTCATGTTTATGTTTTAAAAACTGTTTTTGCCATTTCATTATTATGATGTACTTACTCCTCATTACAACTGATAGAAAGGTTTCAAAATTGTAATCATTTTTGCACATGGTTTGCTGATAATTAATTGTAATTTAATTTAGATTTAGAAATGATAAATGTTGGGGACTACTATAAAATAATGTATGTTCAGTGTAACATTCTGAATTTTATTCTGAATTTTATTGATTAGAATATCTTTGATTCTGAAATGTTATTTAAAGTCCATTTTTGTTGGATCAGCAATGACAATGACATTTTTGTTGGATCAGCTTTTTGTCTTCAAAGAGTCATTTAACTGTGGCCAGATTCTTTTGCCAAGTTACGCTGGTGTAACACAAACAGCATAACATCTGGAGTTGAGTTGCTTAAGAAATCATTGTAGACATCTGTTGCATACTGTCTTGGTGCCTTGCCACACAACTGATAGTCTACATTGATTTCTTAACTTGGGGCAGTTTGCCTCCAAACAATATGCCATTCACAAGAAGATTTTGGCCCATGTTGCTTGAACACTGTTGTGAGTAAATGGGAGATATAAAGGTGCTTATTAAGTTGTTAAGATAGGCACAGTAGATACCGGGTAATCAGGCATCACAACAACCTTGTTCCAAGTTTCTAAGGATGTTAACTCTGTCCCTGTTTCTACAGCCACATCAACAACAATCGAATAACCAGCCTGGAACCAGGCACTTTTGACAATTTATCTGCAACACTTCAAGTACTGAAGTTGAACAGGAACCGAATTTCAGCTATCCCACAAAAGATGTTTAAGCTTCCCCATCTCCAACATCTGTAAGTGCAGCCTCAAGTTATTTGATTTTTTAAAAATTAGTCTAGCAGGTTGTTGGCAGTGGTAGAACCTAATCTCTGCTAAAAACCACATAAGCACAAGAAAGGTTTAGATTAAACAGAAGCACAATTTTGGGAGGTAGGCTTGTTCTAAGCTTTTTGTATCAGTTTGATTTGCTTCTTCTGTCTAGAGCAACTTTCCCCAACATGATACTGTGCTAGCCAGAGGTAATGGGAATGGAAGTGTACATGTGATACCAGGCTTGGTAAAATCGACCTTTAGAGCTAGCATCTTGTTGTGGTTATCATGTTGTCGTGGTACATTAGAAACATACAGCACTTTCTGTTGACCCTTGCCTATTTCCAGGTGAGTGTGGTCCATCATATGGTGGTGGTAGGAAAAGAAAACTTGTCCTTTTACTGATAGACTCCATCCTGAACAATTGCAGTTAATTTTGGCTGCCTTCCTAACTCCCAGAGCAAACTAACCTCTCTGATGTTGTGTCATCTTTGGTGGGCAAGCCAACAGAGAATACTTATTGTCAGGGAGAAATGTTTTAGAGGGAGTCAGCTGCTAATAATTAAGCAGATAAGCTAAATGTTCAATGACATGAAATGGAAAGTTTTCTTGGAAATTATGAGAAAAGGAGGCTTCATTCACAGAGACAGGGAGGATATTTTGGTATACGGTATAGAGAAAGAAAAGAAATAAAGAAAAATCAATAATTTAAGATATACAGAGACACCATCACACTGGCAGAAAGCAGCAATGACATGAAATGCCTTCTAGTGAAAGAGAAAAAAGAAAGTGCCAAAGCAGGACTGAAGAATTGAGAATACAAAAAACATGACTGCGTAAGAATTACACAACTTAAGTGTTGACAATGTAGAAATTGAAAGAGTGAAAGATTTTTGTATACTTTGGCTCAATTATCAATCCAAATCAAGACTGCAACCAGGAAATCAGGAAAAGAGTGAAACTCAGAAGGGCAGCGATGAAGTTATAATAAACGATAATTAAGTATAAGGATGTGTCACTAGAGACTAAAATCAATATCATCCGCATTCTTGCATTTCCGATGACCATGTACAGGTGTGAAAGCCGGACAGTTAAGAAAGCTGACATTTAAAATATGGGGCTGGAGGAGACCTTTGTAAGTACCATGGATTTGTGAGAAAGAGGAACAAGTGGGTATTAGATTCAAATCAAGCTTGAACTATCTCTGGAGGAAAATATGTTGAAACTGAGGCTGTCCTACTTTGGTCAGATCATGAGAAGGCAAGATTCTCTGGAAAAGCCAATTATTCTGGGAAAGGTAGAAGGCAGCAGGAAAAAAAGGAGGATTAAATACAAGAAGGATTAAATCCACAAAGGAAGCCACAGGCTGGAGTTTACAAAACTGAGCAGGGCAGTTAAGGATAGGGCATTATGAAGATATCTCATTCATAGGGTTGCTATAAGTTGGAGGGAACTTGACAGCACATAACAACAATGGCAATATTTATTTATTTATTTATTTATTTATTTATTTATTTATTTATTTATTTATTTATTTAGACAGGAAGGGATCACAGGTAGTTCAGAGTCTCCTGCAAACCTATGCTTATTTTCGTTAGCTGAAAGGTTACATATATTTCTGTTCTTTCTTTTTTCCTTCAGAGAGATGAACCGCAACAAAATTAGAAAAATAGACGGCCTTACTTTCCAAGGACTTTCTTCCCTGAAATCTTTAAGGATGCAAAGAAATGGAATCACCAGGCTCATGGATGGAGCTTTCTGGGGTTTAAGCAGCATGGAAATTCTGTGAGTATCTGCTTCCCTAACCATCAAGGAAGAACATTTCTTAGAACAGCATGCTTATTTGACTTTTTGAGTAACTGCAGTTGTGACAAATATATGCGTGGATGATCAGTTAACAGATGATGGAGTACTGTATGAACGATCATTACTTTAGGATTAAAAAATATGTATCTGAAAGTTGGATTTTTATTTTTGTATGTTTAGGCAGCTGGATCATAACAACCTAACAGAAGTTACCAAAGGCTGGCTTTATGGTTTGCTGATGTTGCAGCAGCTCCATCTTAGCCAAAACGCTATCAGCAGGATCAGCCCTGATGCCTGGGAGTTTTGCCAAAAACTCAGTGAGCTGTGAGTAGTGGTTTGTGTTTTTTAAAATCTTTCTTCCATTTTTAAGAATAGGATACAAGCCAAAGTATGAACTGTGTACCATTGATCTGTGATTTTTTTTTTGTGGCAAACTTTCTGAGATGACAAGAGGTCTGTCTGGGTACATTGAATACAATGCTTTGTTGTTGTGAGAATCTGAAGCTCAAGTTAGCTTTCTTGCCTTCTTTGTAGTAGTTATGCTTGGCTTTTGTGAGTGTAATTTTCAAATAAAGGATGTCTATTCTTCAAGAACACTATGTGTAATGGAAGATAATGTGGAGACTTCTGTTTGAAATACTGAGAGTGAAACAAGTTAAGGGATAGATTGATTTTAGGCTTGAATGTTTTATTACTATTATTTAAAACAAGCATTTTCCCCTATCAAACTTTCAGGGATTTAACTTACAACAATTTAGCACGGCTAGAAGATTCAAGCTTTGTTGGCTTAAACTTACTGGTGAGACTGAACATTGGGAACAACAAAGTGAGTTACATTGCTGATTGTGCCTTCCGGGGACTATCCAGTTTACAAACTTTGTAAGTTTCTGGATTTTTTTTAAGATTAAGAAAAAAGCATCTGAAGTAAAATTAAATGATAAATATATGTACTGTTCATCCTTGAATTCTTTATTAGAGTTCAGCATGGTCAATGTGATTCTTGGAAGTTGCTCCAATGTAAAGCTGTCATAGACTTAGTTCTTGTAAAAAGTTTCAAAAACCAATTTGTTGCTTTCAGAATCACAGAGCATCTTGGTTCCTCCCCCCCCCCGGACTGCCATTTAAATTTATGTCTAAGAAAATAAAAGGATTCGGGATTCTTTTCAGTAACATTGAGTGTCATGTGCTCCTGATTGGGTTTTATTGGGCAGAGGGAGATAAGGTGTTGAGGGTCGGATATGACAGGTGAGGGAAAGACGGAATATTAAATATTGTCCTTTTAATGTTGTTAGCCACCTTGGATTCTTTTAAGGAGAAAGACAGGGTAAAAATATTTATGAGTGAGTGAATGAATGAAGCCTTTCCCATGTTTTGGACCTTCCTGCATCTCTTATGATCCAGATTATCTTTTCAGCCCAGTTTCCAGTCTGCTGGTACTGCTGCTGAATGCCAGTTCAGTCCATGATAAAATACTCTCCAGCCACCTGGATGGGTGGGGTGGATCTGTCTCGGCTCTGCCCCCCCCCATACATGATATAGCATCAGTCGAGATTGGAGGTCTGGGAATGGGGAGGAATTGCCATAATCCATAAGGACTCCTTCTCTCACACAAGGAAACCTACCCATCCTGGCACCAGTTTTGAAAGCCTGTACTTTGTGTTGGGCCAAAGAGACAGAACAAGGTTGCTGGTAGGGTACCACCCACCCTGCTCTGCACCAGTGGTTCCCATACCTGGGAGTTGGGTAAGAGACCTGTTCTGGATGGAATATTGACAAGAAAGTGTCCCCCCATTATGAGTACTTACCTTTCTTGTGCCGTTTCCTGCTCCTCCCCTGATGCTCAGCTGAGTAGGACAGACAGTAGGCTGTCTGGGGCCTTCGTCCTGCCCCACTGCTTCTGGGAGGCTAAGGGCATTGTGGGAAGTGGAGTTTTGCCACCCATTAGGCCCCAGCCTTGGACCTCCAGATGTTCTTGGGCCCATTATAAGTACTTACCTTTCTTGTGCCCAGTTTCCTGCTCCTCCCCTGATGCTCGGCTGAGTAGGACAGTAGGCTGTCTGGGGCCTTCTTCCTGCCCTGGGAGGCTAAGGGCATTGTGGGAAGTGTAGTTTTGCCATCCATTAGGCCCCAACCTTGGACCTCCAGATGTTCTTGGACTATAACTCTGAGAAGCCTTCACCACCAATTCTACTGGCCAGGATTTCTGGGAGTTGAAGTCTAAGAACATCTGGAGGCCCAAGGTTGTGGACAACTGATGTAGGGAATCCTCAAAGAAATAGGCCCCATACAATCTATATCCTTCTTAGCTGTGCAGTGCATCAGAAGAAGGTGTTGGAGACCCATAAAGGAGAGTGTGGGATGGGAAACCCATTAAGGTGGGTTTTCTGTGTAGCTGAGCTACACAGAAAGCCCCCTTTCATTTAGAGATGGGCCTGAACCAAACAAACCATGAACTGGTTCATTAAAAAAAAGTTCAGCATGGCTCATTGACATGGACAAACCACTGTCACAAACTGCCATTGTGTTGGTTTGTGCCCATCTCTAGTATTAACTTGAATTCTTAGTTTGCTTCTTCCTTACAATCACATTATTGTGATTTTAAGCATGCTTCTGCAGTTGTGCAGTTTTCAAATCTTGGGTGTGATTTTTCATCCCCTTACAATAGGGATCTTAAAAACAATGAAATCTCATGGACAATTGAAGATATGAATGGTGCATTCTCTGGACTTGACAAGCTTCGATGGCTGTAAGTATATCTTACTATTGTATATATTCAATGCAGTTACAGTTCCTGATAGTTTCTTTCCTGTAGATCAGTAAAGTATAGCTGAGATGTATTCTGGAAAGCTTGTCCTTCCAGGGAACCATATGTTAGAAAAAGACAGGAAGGAGAATGAAAAATGTAGAAGAGCCAGGCAGTCCAAGGTAGTGGAGGGTTGGTAGTATTAGGCTGATTAAAGGCCAGATGGTAGCTGTGTCTGTAAGGTAGATATGACCTCTAAACCACCTGATCATTGAATGTATGTTCATGTTTATTTCTTTGTCATGGCCCTGTCTCCCAAGATGTGACCTCTAACTATGCAAGATCAATTGAAGCTTAGTTATCAGATGTATCTGCTTCATTCAGGTTACAGTAGATGGAGAAAGTGGGCTAAATGGAGGCAGAAAGAATGGAAATAATGATGTGAAACCTTGAAGCAAAAGTCTAGAAACACTGGAATGTTTTATTGATTTGCTGTTGGAAGCATCTTGATTTAACACTCTCATCCTTGATGGACTAGTGAATCTTCCATCTTTTCTTAAAGGCAAACCATACTCTCACAGTTCTTAGCTTGAAAATATTTTACGAAGTGTAGCCTTATAAAGGTGATTGCTTTGTTCTCATTGACTTGATTGCCTGACTGAATTTGTTTTAATTTCTGTTCTATTATTGTCTCTGTATTTTACAAGTGTGCTGTTGCTTGATCTGTGTTTATTGGAAATTTCTTTAAGTTAAGAACCTTTGTTATGAGGCAACTTGTAAGTACAGTAAGTTTCACCATATCAGAATTATAGAATTGTTTTGCTTTGCCAAATTAATATTCATTAGATTTATTTAAATGCCATGTTCTCTCTGGTTATTGAACCAACATATATGTCTGTATTTAAGAAATGAAATAATATTGTGACAGTAAAAGCCTTAAAGGCACACTGTGATACAACCAGCTAAAAAGTAGTTATAAAAAGAACCTCTTGCAGTTTCCAAAACACTGCATTTATTTTATTGCGTCCTTTACACATTATGTACTTATACTTCCAGGCTACTACAAGGAAACAGGATTAGATCAATTACTAAGAAAGCATTTTCTGGTCTGGACTCACTTGAACACCTGTAAGTAGTTGAAAATTGTATTTAGTCAAACAGTCACAAAAACATACAGCAATACTAACATAGGCTTTTGGACCTTAATCACAGATGGAATTTCTCCCACAAATCTCTTCATTGTTCTTGCAAGCTATTTCATTTTTGTCTTTTTGAAATGGAATTTGAGAATTTTATCTTTATTATTTGCATTTTTTTGTCTTTTCTCCCCAGAGATTTAAGTAACAATGCAATCATGTCAGTTCAAGGAAACACATTTTCACAAATGAAGAAACTTAAAGAATTGTAAGTTTTCTAATTTTTATTTGTAGTCTTAGCAGTTCTATTGATATCCTGTCAACCCTGGTGATCTATTTCTTCCCAGTGCCTTCAGAACACCTTTCACTTCACTTTCTAGAATCACAGGTTCTTCATCGTAGGATTCCTCATCAAAGGAGTCTGTCATCCTTTTATCTGTTCTGTATAGGTCTTCAGTTTTACTGTTTCTGCTTTCTCTTTATTTTTCGCCTGGTCAGATAGTGTTCTTCTCAGCATTCTTATTCTAGAATTAAATCTTAACAAGAATATGCCAACAATTATTGGGGAAAAAACAATGGCCCACAGAAAGATTCAGTATACAGTCCTCTCCCCAAGAAAGGTGATACCAAGGAATGCCATATCTATAGGACTTTTACTCTTATTTCTTATGCAAGCAAAGTGATGCTCAAAGTGCTACAACAAGGGCTTTTGCCTTATATGGAGTAAAAAATTCCTGATGTCCTAGCAGGATTCAGAAAAGGAACACATACTCAAGATTGTATTGCACATATCTTCTGGCTGCTGGAGTAGACCAAAGGATTTCAGAAGATCAGTCTATGCTTTATAGAACACAGGAAAGCTCTTGCCTGTGTGGATCATGGCAAACTATGGGTTGTTCTAAAAGAAATGGTTGTGCCCCAGTACTTGATTGTTCTGATGGGTAATCTATAGTGTGGGCACGTAGGACACAATATGGAGAGGCAAAATAGTTTTGTGTATGAAAAGGTATCAGATAAAGGTGCACTTTATCCCTTGTCCAATCTGTACATAGAACGTATTATACAGAAAGCTGGACTAGATTCAGATGAAGGAGGAGTGAAATTTGGTGGACGAAACATCAACAAATTTAAACATGCAGATGACACCATCTTACTGGCATTTGGTGGACGAAACGTCAACAAATTAAAACATGCAGATGACACCATCTTACTGGCAGAAAGCAGCAATGACTTGAAACAACTGTTAGGGAAATTGAAAGAAGAAAGTGCCAAAGCAGAACTGCGCTTGAAAGACAAGACAAAATCAAGACTACAGAAGAACTACACAAATTTAATGTTGATAATGAAGAAATGGGAATTGTTAAAAATTTTGTATACCTTTGGTTCAATCATCAGTCCAAACATTGACTGCAGCAAAGCAATCCAAAGAAGACAGAGACTCGAAAGGGCAGCAATTAAAGAATTAGAAAAGATTGTTAAGTGTAAGGAAGTGTCAATGGAGACCAAGGCCAATATCATACACATTTTTGTATTCCCAGTACCTACATATGGGTGTGAAAGCTGGACAGTAAAGAAAGCTGATGGGGGGAGGGATGATTCATTTGAAATGTGGTGCTGAAGGAAACCTTGGGGATATCCTGGACTGCCAGCAAAATGAACAAGTGAGCCTTAAATCAAATCAAGCCTGAACTATGTCTGGAGAACAAAATGATAAAACTGAGGCAGTCCTCCTACTTTGCTCATGAGGAGGTAAGATTCTCTGTAAAAGACCTTTTGAAGGTTGCTCATTCATAGGGTTGCCATACGCTGAAAACACGTAACAACAAAACAACCCTTAGCAGTTCTTCCTAATTTTTCCAATGCCTTACGTAATCTGAGAAGATTTCTATAGCTAAGGAAAAATATACATTGCTGACTTGAGAAAAGAAATATACATTGAGAGGTATTAGGTGTGCTATTTCTATGAATTCATCAGTAAAAATATTCCATCCTTTATCTGTGTGGTGCAGGGTGAGAGGGGGAACATAATATGTGTAATCAAGCACATAAAAAGTCTATAGTCTGCGATTTGCACCTTTGCTGTAATGTGTGCCAGATGGCAGTTGCAAGACAGTTGCTGGTGTTCATTTTTCCACACCATTGAAAGGAACCCACAGAAAATGAGGCATATTGCTCCCAGAAAGTATGCGTTTAAAGTTAAAGTACTTCCAGATTATTTTGTCTTCTGGGTAAATGGATTCCATAGATGGCACACTTATTGTATACCCTCTGTTTTTGAAATTCCCCTGTTTACTCCCTCCAGCTCTGGCAATCACTCTGCCCAGTAGTCCTCCCAGTACCTAGCCCATAAGTCAGCTCAATACCCATGTGGAAGAATTCCAAATTTTAAAAATTCCATCCAAGTATTGCAGTTGAAGGAGCAGTATTTTCACTGAAATACTGTCATACTGTCTGAAATCCAGCACTGTAATTTACTACCTCGGGAGCCCTTTCCTCATAGGGAAACCACCCGGGGCAGAAGAGGGGATGGGAATTTTCTGAAAATCTGCCCCACTGGGATGACTTTACCAGTGGCAGCAATTTTTGAAAACCAGAGACTTCCCCATTCCATGCCCCCCAATTGCTTCCCCAAATCAATAAATCAATCAAATCAAATAAATTTATTGTCATTGTAAGTATATACATAGTATATTCATACAACAAAATTCATACACTCAGAGACCTACATGCACAAACATAAAAAATCCCCAAACACTCCTCACCCACTAAAAATTCCCCACTAAGAATACAAACATTTCCCAAGAGGAAAGGCAACCCAGGTGACCTTTGGGACCTTGAACAGGTGGGGATTGGAAAACTTTACTTTACAAAACGAAACAAACAAAACTCCAAACCCACAGCTGATGATGTCATGAGCTTTTCACAGCATATTGCTGAAATTTGGCCATTGTTTGTAAGATTTGTTTGCATCACACATAGTATATCATCACCCAAGCCAATTTCTTCTGACATTGATTACAAATGTTTAGTAGGCAGCATTGTGTTTCATAACTTTACACAAGCATAACCCAGCTCAGGCACTGCAAGCATTTGAAGTAATTAAGGTTTTCATCTCTTCCTCCTTTTAGATTCTGAGGCTCCTAGGGATCTCTTTTGCCCTGGGGAAGACTTTGAGAGCCTTGGGACATGGAAAGGGGGAAGTCTTTTTAAAAAAAGCTGTCTGATGACTGCTGCCCAGTCCGGGTTATGCCACACAAAGTTATGGCAGTAGGATTTTGCCCATTACTGTGTTTATTGTAATTTTGATCTTGATTTTGATTTTTATGTCTGATTTTTTAAAATAAATTGGTGTTATTGATTTATTATATTGTAAACCACCCAGAGTGGCCTTGTAGCCGGATGGGTGGTATAAAAGTCAAATAAATTCTATAAATAAATAATAGAAGAAATAGAATTGACAAACTCCCTAGTACACAACCAATTAACTACTTACCCGTATTTTCGCTCCATAAGACGCACCTTTCCATAAGACACACCAATTTTTTAGGAGAAGAAAACAGGAAAATATAATGTTTTCTTCGCTCCATAAGATGCACAGACTTTCCACCCCCCTGTTTTATGGGAAAAAAGTGTGTCTTATGGTGCGAAAAATACGGTAGTTTATAGCCAGAGGATTGTACTGGAAGTTTACCTGGCACACTTTACAGAAGCTTCCAAGAAATGTCTGTGATCAAACATACCTAAAAGCTAATTACAAGTTTTTAAAAACCTTTATTAGGAATAAATAGAAACAAAAGAAGCAGGATGGGTCTTTCACAAAGCTCATATAACAGTGTTTTAAAAACCCTGTCGGTATTCCCAATTGCAAGCCTAAACTAACTAACTTCAAGATATAATTAATCCAGTTATTATATTTTATAAGTGAGTAGTATCTGCACAGTAATGTTTGTAACTCTTAATCATTTTGGAGATTTTTCAAGACAAACTCATTTTGAAATATCCAAGCTAATTATTTAAGTTGTGAAATCATTAGTATCCACACAAAATTTCTTTTTTCTCATTGTTACCATTTCAGGAAACAAACAAGCAAACTTTGAAAAATATATATATATGAGACTCCAATTATATCAACACAATTCTGTGAATGTGACTTAAAAGGGATGATGATTAAATGGCACAGATAAAAGACATAAAAGGAATGAAAGTGTAACAAATTAAAAAATGCAATTTGACAATATACCAAGAGAAGAAAATATAACACCAACCCAGATGAAAGTATGTTCTCCATCCAGTGAGGCCATTTGCCCAAAGCAAACCTGAATTTTAAAAACGTTTTTGCCTCTTGGTAGCTGGAAATCAAATAGAGAGACCATATAGACCTCCTTGATAGCAAGTTTTAGGGTCTGGCAACCATCACCAGGAAAGGCGTGATGTGAGTGAACAGTAATGAAGACAAAATGTATCCTTTCATCATCATCATATTAGAACTGCAGGTCTGGAAAGGACCCTATGGATCATCAAGTCCAGCCCCTGTCAAGGAGGCACAGTGAGGAATCGAACTGCCAACCTCTGGCTCCACAGCCAGAGACTTAAACCACTGAGCTATCCAGCAGTTCTTAGAGTAGCAGATATATCACAAGTATGTTGGCAACGTTTGTAAGGTTTTCTTTTTTGAAAATATTTCTGTGAAACAGTATCCAGAGACCTACTCTGGGTGTACCTAGTAGGAAGTGTGGCCCCAATTCAGTGAGCTATGTATAGCAGAAGTGCATGTGTGACACTGAAGAAAAACAAGATCCATTGGCCACAAGGAACATGTTCTACATTTCTTTGGATCCAGCTAAGGATTCAGTGAAAGTCAAAACTCTCATCCTTCTCATACTCCCTGTTCATCTTCATGGGTTTTATGCTCATTCAGTTTTGGTGGTTGCTTTTTTTAGTAATGTAATTTGTTCCTCTGAAGGCCAAGAAAGCTGTTTCTTCACATGAAATGAGTTTGCTCCCTTTTGCTTTTCTAGGTACCTGAACACATCAAGCCTTCTGTGTGATTGCCAGTTGAAATGGCTTCCAGAATGGCTGACAGACAACAACTTCCAGACATTTGTGAATGCCACTTGTGCCCACCCTCAGACACTCAAGGGAAGAAATGTTTTTGCTGTCAGCTTGGATGGTTTTGTGTGTGGTGAGTCTACAAAGCAATTTACCACTGACGGGGTTTGAAAATAGGAGGGTGGTTTAGAGAAGAGAAAACTGTCCTTTATCTTTATTGCCTGGACTAATGGGGTTAATTTTCTTTTTGTTTAATTAAAATACTCTTTTCCCTTTTACGCCTTATGAACTCTGATCTCCAGATATTTAGAGATTGTGGTTTTACTTCAAATGGGCAGTTTATGACATAATTTCACATACAAAGAGCAGATCAGTGGTTAAAATATGGATAGAGCTTAGGTAAGCATAGTTCTAAATAAAATCATAGTTTGATTTGTTTAGACTGGTGTTTACTTTGTGTTCTTAAATGGAGCAATTCAATCATTCTTTAAGGAAGATGCTGTCATTGTTCAAAGGTCAAGAAGCATTCAGATAAGAAACCAATGTTGCCACCTTAAATCAATACAGTATTTCTTCTTTGTACTCTGTGTGAGATCTATAATAATAAATAATAAACATGTGCCATGAAATAAATACAGATTTATGGCAACCCTTTTCAGAGTTGTCCACGTAGTGGTTACACAGGCGTGGTTTACCATTCCCTTCTTCTGGCGTGTTGTAGGACTGTGCTGCTTGGCCAAGGCCACACAAACTGGCTCTTCTTCCAGAAGACACAGTGGGGAATTGAACTCCCAACCTCTAACTCCAGAGCTATCCAGCCAGTGACATCTGTAAGAACATTTAAATCATAGGAGAAGATTCTGCCATTCTTGCCACCTTGGTAGGCAGGTCAGGTCCCATGATCCTGTCCAAACCTATTTACAATATTCTCTGCCAGACCAGCTTTTGGGGCTTCTTAAGTACCTTAAGAATCATTCTGAACAGAGCAGAAAGGGTACTCACTGTTGTTAATATATTCAGTATCATGTGGATGTTAATAGATTCAGTATCATCTTTAGGCATGTGGCAGTGAAACTGAATCTAAACTAGATTCGGAACTGAACCCATTCCAGATACAAGGGTAGCTATTTCTGTAGCATAGTCTTTGTACTCTTTTTGAAGTAAAGATAGGGTGATTTATCTTTCAGGAAATGACATGCTTCTTTATAATGTCCTGTGAAACTGGACACAAGAAGCTCGGAAGTGCTTTTTTCTTCTTCAAATATTTACAGTGCTGTTAATTTTGTATTACTTTTACTATAGAGGGAATAATTTAATGCTGAATGTGAGATCCAGATGTGAAAAATTGTTTTGTATGTGAACATCTATCCTTGCAACCAGTATCAAAGTGCTCTTGCATGCTCTACTGTTGTTTTGTACATACTTAAGAACACACTAAAAGAAATAAATTTATGTAAGCACAACGAGGAGCAAAAACAAGGTTACCTATTCTGGTCATCTCCAAAATATACCTAGTGAAACAGCAGGTTAAAAGGTCTGATTGACACAGTTCTTAGCAAATGAAATTAAGCTGCAAAATATCACCTATATAAAAGACAATATTTGCTGTCAGTTGATTCAAAGTTAAAGGAACATTCAGTCATAGCATATCAAACTTCCGTACAGTAGAACCTAGTATAGAATCAGTGCAGTCTAGCTTCTTAATAATTTTAAAACAGTGCTGTAATTGAGAGATTTGCTATTTGAATTAATCTTATTGTACAACATGTGCCAGAAATAGGTGCAATTTTTATTAAATGCTATTGGGATTAACAAATTTGCCAAGTTGAATAAACATTTTGATCTTCATAATCTAGTTATCCTGTTAGTGTTCTAGGGAAAATGCTGCTTAAAGATATATTTGAATTCTTGAGATAGTAAGCTATTTAATTCTTAAATCTTGCACCTGAATGGCTGTTATTCAGATACTCCTTTTTGCATTTAGTATAATGATTGCTCAGCAGGAGAAAAATATACATGCATTTCTAAATTTAATGAAAATAACTGTATGTGTTCACATGTGGTTTTAGATGCTAATTCAAGATGCCAGGTTACAATTCTGGGAAGAAAAGCTTTTTAAAAGAAAAGAAAAGAAAAACAGTAAAAGAGCACATTAACAGAGATAAAAATATGTGCTTACAGGTGGTCTCATCCTTACAATTTAATATTGATGTCATTTGTACCTTTCATAGCTATCTAAAGTTGCCAAATTTCAGATCTGAAAGGATTTTTTTTTGAGAATGGGAAAAGAATATTGAAATGTGCAGTGCCCTCTAAACATAAAATAATCTTCCTGATCCACAAGTTCAAGTTTTAAATACAGTAGAATTTATTTCCCCTCGACTAAAGCCACCACCATGCCTTTTGCTGGACCAGAAGGGTTGAAAAAGCTGTAAGGAACTAGCAGCAGTTACAGCTGTGATTGAAGAAGGGGCCAGGGAGCTGGCTTCGACATACAGTATAGTTATATCTTCTCCTGTAAGAGCAGCTAGGCCAGTAACTGACAGGGGAAAACAACAGGAGTAGAAAATTAGAGGTGCAATCTTTTGGGAGCCCGCTCAGAAGTAAATCACATTGAGATCAATGGGATTCATCTCAAATGTGACTGGATTTCCTGCTTTTTGAGCACAGTAATTACATGACTTCATTATGTAAAATGTTACACTGATTAGGGCTACATTTACCCTTTTTTGTTTATGCGTGTGTGCGTGCTGCTTATATACCGCCCCATAGTGCTTCAAGCACTCTCTGGGCGGTTTACAAGTTAATTATGCAGGCTACACATTGCCCCTCCCCCAGCAAGCTGGGTACTCATTTTACCAACCTCAGAAGGATAGAAGGCTGAATCAACCTTTGAGCCGGCTACCGGGGATTGAACCCGAGGTCGTGAGCACAGTTGCACTGATTAGGGCTACAGTTACCCTTTCTTGTTTATGAATATAATACCATGCATAGAATGTTCTCTCTGTAGTTCAGTAGAGCTTGGGGGTTACCCCCCCCCCACAAAGTAGATTTCCTTCCTCCCCCCACTTTTCAAGTTACACCATATCCAGACAAATGTACAAGTGAAACCAAACTGTATAGGATCTCTTTGATGGGTTATTATGACCTTGCATTAGGAAGGACGGCTCCCCTTTTGGACAAAGCTTTTGCGATGAGAACAGATGAAACTGAAGATATTTATATGCATATAATACAATGCATAGAATGTTCTCTCTGTAGTTCAATAGAGTCCAGGGGTCCCCCCCCCACAAAGTAGATTTCCTCCCTTCCCCCATTTTTCAAGTTACACCAGATCCAGACAAATGTACAAGTGAAACTGAACTGTATAGGATCTCTTTGATGGGTTATTATGACCTTGCATTAGGAAGGACGGTTCCCCTTTTGGACAAAGCTTTTGAGATGAGAACAGATGAAACTGAAGATATTTTGAGGAGTGTTTTGACCTCCACACATTTCAACTTACAATTCCCATCAGCCTCACCCAATGTAGCAAACAGTGAAGGATTGTGAAAGTTGCCCAAAACATACAGAAGGGCAGGGATACTTGTCCCCTGCTCTGCACTGACATTATTGGTTTACTTTTTTTTTAAAGTATTCTTGAATAGTACATTTTAGATTGCAGAATGGAAAATCAGCAGTATAACTTTTTTGACCTTTTAAAAATATACAATAGAAAACTTACAAGTCTGTTTTCCTGCTTTCCTTTATTTCCTCAGTCTCGCTGACATGAAGTCGTAGGATCTTATTCCTGTATTTCATTTTTGTCTCTCTCTTTTTCCTATTTCATTTTTATGTACAGATGATTTTCCAAAGCCACAGATTACTGTCCAACCTGAAACTCAGTCAGCAATCAGAGGTTCCAATTTAAGTTTTATATGTTCAGCGGCCAGCAGCAGTGATTCCCCAATGACTTTTGCATGGAAGAAGGACAATGAATTGCTACATGATGCTGAGATTGAGAATTATGCACACCTCAGGGCACAGGGTGGCGAAGTGATGGAATATACCACCATTCTTAGGCTCCGCAATGTGGATTTCAGTAGCGAAGGGAAATATCAGTGTGTTATTTCGAATCACTTTGGCTCATCCTATTCTGTAAAAGCTAAACTTACGGTGAACAGTAAGTATCTTGAGTTGACTTGTATATTAAACCAAAAGGTCATAACACTAAATTTCGTACCCGAGTGTCCTCTCAGAACATGTGATGAAGAGATGTTGGGAAGATGACTGCATTTGATTGCCGGATATGTAATGGTGGACAACAGAATTTTTGGCCTAAAATTGACCCACTTTAGCTAGCATATCCAGTGATGAGAGATCATGGAAGTTGCAGTGCAATAACATCTGGAAGAGTATAATCATCCAACCGTGCTATAGACACATGGGAAGCAATTCTTTTTACAGGTGCAAAAATCATGTCATGAAGAATAAATTGGAAATACAGTCACACTTCAGTGGCTATAAAGCTGAAACTTTACTTGATTAATCTTCAGTATTTATAAGTGGGCACTGAAATATAAAATTATTGGCCACACCTCTTGGTACACACATCCACCCACTGTTACTTCTGCCTTGTGATTGTAGGGTGTTATGTGTAAGGATGCATCTGAAAGTTCCCGGAAACAATATTCGATTTAGAATGTAACTGTTTAATTGCTGAAAGGGACAAGGCCGCTCACACTACCCACAGGTCTCTGGGCAGCCAGGTATGTAACCAGCAACTTTTAATTAGATTCAATTTGCCCCACAACTTAGCAATTTCACTTCTTCTAGTGTAAAAGCACAATAGGGTTCTGGCAAATAACTTATTTACGATAATAAGAGCAGAGAACATATTTAGCCTATCCTTTAAAAAAATTAGCTATCTTCTAGTCACAGTTCAGAATGCTGGTATTGACCTTTAAATTCCTTTGTGACAGAGGGCCAAAGTACCTGCAAGATTGTCTATCTCTGTGTCAGTCTTTCCTTAAGTTCATTGTAGGTAATTTATTTCTCCAGACGCCCCATTAAATTGTGTGCTAGGTAGCCACCTAGCAAATATATTTTGATTTTTCCAATCCTTTAAAGGACTGGTAATACTAAAGAAGAATAGTTGTTTATTTTCATCATTTATAATCTAGCATACAATAAACATTTGCAAACAGTATAGTAGACAGACAAATGGCCAAAATCCTGTTGGGATTTTACTCCAGAGAAAGCAAAAATTGTGTAAGGCACAATTTTTTCAATTGTAGTTGATTAACAAGATATCAATAATGTGCTTAATTGTATGACTGACATATGCACACCGCTCACACTACCCCCAGGTCTCTGGGGAGCCAGCTATGTAACCAGCAACTTTTAATTAGATGCAATTTGCCACACAACTTAGCAATTTCACTTCTAGTGTAAAAGCACTATAGGATTCTGGCAAATAACTTATTTACGATAATAAGACAATAACGACAGCAACATATCAGTCAGAGGTCTGTTGAAAGAGAATTGTTTCATAATACTGCTCTACCTAATGTTCTAATTTTGGATGTCTATTTTAACATTTTATGGCATGTAAGCAATCAAATCAAGTGTTACTGTATCTCAGCAATAAAAGTGCATTGAATTGTTGATAGATATTTACTGTGGTGACTTTAAGCACAAAACGTTGAGTAAGATAATATTTAGCAATGCAAGAGTGAAAAAAAATCAAGACCGTGAAGCAAGCACTTTGTTTAAAGTAATGCTATTCAATAGTACTGGAAATATGTCTTTTCCCCAGTAATGATATATCAAACTTTTCCAAGCTGATTTGATTTACACGGTTCATTAAAATTATTTCTAAAACTAGATTACATAATCTCCACTGAACAGTCAAAACAACTGCCGTTCAAGACATAATAATAAAGGAATGAAGCTATGGAATAATAAACTCAAATACAATATCATAAATTGATACAGCAGAGTACATAAAAGTATCAAAAGACTCTTGATAGCATCATATTTTGGGTTTTTTTATATACATCTTAAATGTTTGTCTTCAAGATGGTCAACAGTAAATATATCAGGAAATGTTAAGTTTTGCAGTAAAACTTTTAAAAGAAAATGTAGCATCCGATAAAAGCACATGTCAAGCTAGGACTTGAGTCACATTAAAATGCCCCCCAAAATAATGGGGCACAAAAAGAAGGTCATGTGGGCACTAGGAGTGCCGCCACTGGGACACAGGGGAATCTCCATAAGGAAGCACTTAGTCGATTCCAAAGCAGAGATTGATGGATAAATACAGAAAGAGATATTTGCTCCTTTAGATATTTGGGTCCCAAGCTATTTTGGGCTTTGAAAGTAAGTACTAGCATCTAGAATTGGGCCTAAGAGCAAATAGCCAGTACAGTTCTTTTACGATCAGGGATTCACACATTATGCATGCAAATGCTATATATCCACACAGAAAACAGCTGTCTGAATACTAACTATGAAGATGATAATTCATGCAATGCAATGGTATGTGATTTTTCCCCATATCCTCCCCCCAGTGCTTCCTTCATTTACCAAGATGCCCATGGACCTTACCATTCGTGCAGGCGCAATGGCCCGACTGGAATGTGCTGCAGTTGGCCACCCAGTGCCCCAGATTGCTTGGCAGAAAGATGGTGGCACTGACTTCCCAGCAGCACGCAAGCGACGTATGCATGTGATGCCTGAAGATGATGTGTTTTTTATTGTGGATGTCAAAATTGAGGATACCGGTGTTTACAGCTGCACAGCACAAAATACAGCTGGTAGCATTTCTGCAAATGCGACATTGACAGTCTTAGGTAAGATCAAACATGATATCCACAAATGTGATACACTGGTGATATGATGCATATGTTCCCCATCGTCCTCATCTTCTGGAGAGCAACAAAACAACAACCAGTAAATGTCCATCAGAATTTTAATAAAACAAAACAAATCCAAACATGAAACATTTTGACAAATACATCAGCTTCAGTCACAGAACTGAAGATGAATTTCCAGGCTTAACAGATGAAACAATTTAATCTACCATACTGGTGTTTCATCCTCACTACTCAAACTGAAGCTGACGTAGATGCTGGAATGTTTCCATGCTTGGATTTGTTTTCTCTTACTGAATATTTGATACAATTCTTGGTTCTTGTTTTGTTGTCACACAGTGTGACTGCCTGTGTGCAGTTGCAGCCTTGAAAATTCTATTTTCTTGTCAAAAAACTGTGTCACCGATTTAATCATATGTTTTATTTTGTCTTTGACGGTGAGTAATGCTGTATCATTAAAACTACAAGAGAATTTTTCTGACTTGGTTGAAGTAACAGTCATGTTTATGCTTCCATTTACAGAAACTCCCTCATTTTTACGGCCCTTGCTGGACCGAACAGTGACAAAGGGCGAAACTGCAGTTTTGCAGTGTATCGCAGGTGGTAGTCCTCCACCACGACTCAACTGGACCAAGGACGACAGCACTTTGGTAGTGACTGAGAGGCATTTCTTTGCAGCAGGAAATCAGTTGCTTATCATTGTGGACACAGACTTTGAAGATGCTGGGAAGTACACATGTGAAATGTCTAACACTCTTGGAACAGAGAGGGGCAACATTCGCCTCAGTGTAATTCCCACTCCTACCTGTGACTCTCCTCAGAATGCTGCTCCATCTTTGGACGATGATGGATGGGCCACTGTGGGTGTTGTGATCATAGCTGTGGTATGCTGTGTGGTGGGTACTTCTCTCGTGTGGGTGGTCATCATATACCACACAAGGAGAAGAAATGAAGATTGCAGCATTACAAACACAGGTGTGTAAACTGAAACTTGGCACTGGAAGAGCACACACAAATATGTTTGTGGTTTCCTTACATAAGTTTTTCCAGAAATATGTGTCTCTTGATTCATATTCAGAAGACTGAATAGCTTTTCAACACTCTAGCTCATTAGGTTCAAGCTACTGCAAAAAGTCATTATACTGATTGCTTTCTGCATGTGTGTGCATTTTTGCTTAAACACAGATGAGACAAATCTGCCTGCTGATATTCCAAGTTATCTGTCATCCCAAGGAACTCTGGCTGAAAGACAAGATGGATATGGGTCATCAGAGAATGAAAGCCAACACCATTTTGCATCATCTTCATCTTCGTCCATGGGCGGATATTTTTTACAACAAAGAGATAGTAGTGGTGAGTATTCAACACCACCATGTGATACATCTTTTGTTGTTGTTTAGTCGTTTAGTCGTGTCCGACTCTTCGTAACCCCATGGACCAGAGCATGCCAGGCCTTCCTGTCTTCCACTGCCTCCTGGAGTTTGATTAGATTCATGTTTATAGCTTTGATGACACTATCCAACCATCTCATCCTCTGTCATCCCCTTCTCCTCTTGCCTTCACTTTCCCAACATCATGGTCTTATCCAGGGAGTCTTCTCTTCTCATGAGATGGCCAAAATATTGGAGCCTCAGCTTCAGGATCCATCCTTCCAGTGAGCACTCAGGGTTGATCTCCTTTAGAATGGATAGGTTTGTTCTCCTTGCAGTCCAGGGGATTCTCAAGAGTCTCCTCCAGCACCACAATTCAAAAGCGTCAATTCTTCAGCCGTCTGCTTTCTTTATGGTCCAGCTCTCGCTTCCATACATCACTACTGGAAAAACCATAGCTTTGACTATGTGGACCTTTCTCGGCAAGGCGATGTCTCTGCTTTTTAAGATGCTGTCTAGGTTTGTCATCGTTTTCCTTTCAAGAAGCAGGTGTCTTTTAATTTTGTGGCTGCTGTCACCATCTGCAGTGACCATGGAGCCCAGGAAAGTGAAAGCTGGCACTGCCTCCATATCTTTCCCTTCTCTTTCCCAGGAGGTGTTGGGGCCAGTGACCATGATCTTAGTTTTTTTTAAAAATGTTGAGCTTAAAACCATTTTTTGCGCTCTCCTCTTTCACCCTCATTAAGAGGTTCTTTAATTCCTCCTCACTTTCTGCCATCAGAGTGGTATCATCTGCATATCTGAGGTTGTTGATATTTCTTCCGGCAATCTTGATTCCGGCTTGGGATTCCTCCAGTCCAGCCTTCCGCATGATGTATTCTGCATATAAATTCAGATGTAAAAGTACTACTAATTTCAATGGGAGTTACTCCCAAATAACTCTGTAGAGGGTTACAGCGTGTATTCTCTGGATTTACTACATTGGTTCCTGGCATGCAATTTCTTTTATTGTCAGCTTTGATAGACTTTCTATGAAAATGATAAATACAGTTAGGAAATAACGGCTTGATTATCTTTCTGTTTATCATCAGCTTGTCCTTTATGAATATTAAAATATCAAAATTTTCTCATTTAGCTGCAGCCTTCTTCTGTAAATCAGCCTTTCCAACCTTTCTCCATTTCCAGGGCATGCTAAATTACAAGTCTTGTCACCCCAGCCAAAATAGCAGGTGTTCTACTACAACTGATTGTAGCTGGCTGGATAGCTCAGTGAGTTCAGTGTCTAACTGCCAAGCCAGAGGCTGAAAGTTCAGTTCCCCACTGTGTATCCCAGAAGAGCCAGCCTATGAGGCTTTGGGCAAACTGCAGTCCCAAGATGTCACCTGAAGAAGGGAATGGTAAACCACTTCTAACTGTTATCAGCTTAGAAAACTCCAGAAAGAATCACCGTAAATCAGAATTGACTTGATGACCTATGATGATGGCTTAGAAAACTCCAGAAAGAATCACCATAAATCAGAATTGACTTGATGACCTATGATGATGATACAAACACATCCAGAAGGCAAAACATGACAGAAGTGTCTCTTATTTATCATGCTGCCCTTTCATCCGTCCCCAGAAGGATTAGGTACACACACAAGAAAGGTCACTGTTAACAACTGTCAACAATCCATGACAATGGGTGGAGAAGGACTGCAGAAGTGGGATTATCCCTCACCTCCCAAGTCCTTTGTCCTTCTAATGAGCTTATTCAGACCAGAAGAAAATGAAAACAACTGGAGGATATATTACCAACTCTCCTCAGACTGAAGAAGCTGCTTGGATGATTAGTGCAACATTTCAACATAAGAAAGAAGTCCAGTTGCCATGACTCAACTTCCAGACTACAGAAGGTTGCAACAGATTTTCTTAATGTAGAAATGCACTTTTGAGATGAACATGTCCAGGAAATATTTGGGGGATTTTTGTTGCCTTGAATTTTGCTTCATTTTAATTTTCCTGTACAGCCAAGTTTTTGAACTACCGGTCAATGATATTACCCTGTTTTCCCTGAGGATAAGACCTAACCTGAAAATAAGCCCTAGTATGATTTTTTAGGTGCTTGCAATATAAGTCCTACCCCCAAAATAAGCCCTAGTTAAATGAAACCCCACCATCCACCACTGTGTGGGCAGCAACCAGAAGAGGAGGACATGACAGTATTTGAATAACTGAAGATGGTTGTACATGAAAAAAAAATAAAACATTCCCTGAAAATAAGCCCTAATGCATTTTTGGACCAAAAATTAATATAAGACCCTGTCCTGTTTTGGGGGCTACACAGTAATAGCATGTAGATTGCTGCCAAGTTCCTTCAGCAACAGTGCCAGCTGAGGTCTTGCTGCTGACAGAGGAGTGCTATTCCCCCATTTCTCCAACAACAAATTGATGTCTTATGTTCCAAATTAATGTTGTTCCAGTTCTTCCACATCCCAGAAGCTTAAGCCTACATTCACTTACGTTCTGTGGGAGATACATTTTTTAAAGGCCCTGTATGGCAACCAGCCATTTTTTTGCCTGACCATCCTCCAAGTCTCTCATTGTTGCAGGAAGATCCCATACCCATAAGAAGCAAAGACATACATTTGGAGAAAAGTTCCTGCAGTAGTGATCCAAGCGATGATAGGAATCTCCACGGTCTAAATTAGTGGGATTTCCCAACATAATAAACTTCGTTCAAGGAATACTACTGACGACAATTCCCTCCTCCCCTTACAGCAGCTACTGTCCACTTTTGGCAAGTTATTTTTAAAAATTGTAGAAGTTTTTCAGAAAGCTAGCTACGTTCCAAGGGTCAGTTCTGCATCCATTTAAAAAAAGGAACTCTGTGGACATAGTTGCTGTGGAGAGCGCATAACTGAAAGATTGAAAACCAGGACGAGTAAAAAATGTGCAGGCCAGGTGTTCTCAAAATAGTGTGGTATCGAAATACTTGTGTTGGGTTGTTGAGGTCAATCAGATCATTTCCAGCTTACAGTGACCATATGAAATAATGATCTGCAGAGGGCCGTAATATTAGTGGTCCTGCTCAGGTCTGGCAAATTAAAGGACATTCTTTACTGGGTGAATGAATTTCATGTTAGATCTTCTACTTTTCTGAGCATTACTGTCTTTCCAAGTGACTTTTATCTTCTCATGAGACAACCAAAGTATGACTGCCTCTATTCATTCATTGTACAGTGGTACCTTGCTAGACGACGACCTTGTAAAATGACAAATCCGCATGATGATGAGGTTTTGCCATCGCTATAGCGATTCGCAAAACAGTCATTCCAATGGGGGATTTTTGCTGGATGATGATTTGGTCCATGCTTCACGGACCGTTTTTTCGCAAGACGATGATTTTTACAGCTGATCGCCAGCTTCGCAAAATGGCTTCCCTGTGTTTTTGGGACCCATGCTTCGCAGGACAGCCATTTTAACAGCTGATCGGCGCTCACAAAATGGCTTCCCTATGGGCGATCTTCGCTGGACGACGACTGTTTTCCCCATTGGAACGCATTAAGCGGGTTTCAATGCATTCCAATGGGGAAATGGTTTTCGCATGATAATGATTTCGCTAAACAGCGATTTCTATGGAACGGATTATCATCATCGTGCGGGGCACCCCTGTAGCTCCTATTGAAAATTCAGGCTTGATTTGCTCTAGAAGCCATCTATTCATCTTTCTGGTAGCCATAAAGTGTCCATAAAGCTCTCCCCCAACATCACATTTGAAAGGAATCTATTCTTTCCTCACTGTCCAATTTTCACATCCATACCTAGTAATTAGTAAGGCTACCATATAGGTGATTATGCTTTGGTCCCCAGTGATACATCCTTACAGTAGAGGATGCTTTTAAATTCTTTCATAGCTGTCTTTCCAAGTCTCAGTCTTTTTCTGATTTCCTGACTGCAGCTTCCATCTAGATTTATGATTGCACTGGGGTGTACAAAATCTTTCACTACTTTGATTTCTTCATTGTCAATACTAACATTTATGTCATTCATCATCATCATCATCATCTTAAAACTGCAGAGCTGGAAGGGATCCAGTGGACTATCAACTTTAGCCCTACCTCTGACTCCTCAACTACCTAAACTAGCTGAGCTATCCAGCAGTTCAGACATAATTTTAACTGCAATAATTCTCAACTATAATCCTGCTTCTGTCCTTTCTTCTTTTGCCCTCATTTGATTTTTTTTCTATGGATTTTCACTCCTCCTTAATCTGAATCTAATACTGGCTACCTTAAAATAATGATTGCTTCTATTTGAACCACAGACTCATCTACACATAGATTTTCACAATGTATCTTCATATGTGAAGTTAGAATAAAACTGATGCATACCATCATTATGTTATAGGAATGTGTCATGTGGATAATTGCAGTGAAAATGATTTAGAAGCTGTAGCAGATCCATTTTTATGCCATTATCTGGGAACATCAGGAAGTATATATTTGAAAGGGAATATGTGTGGCCCAGATGTGTTTGAAGTCTACAGTGCAGGTAATCTATTTTATGTATTTATCTAAGTATATATGGCTTTTTTCTCCTGGCCTCCTAAAGAATGTTTGCTCTGTGAAGCTAATGAGATGCCATTTCAGTTTTTATTGTTGTTTTTATTTAAGGTTGTAACTCAGAGCAGAGAACTATGTGCACGGATGTTTATGATTCAAGCTACTTAAAGAAAAAGGAAAGTCATTCCCATCCTCACCTACCTGAAGATCATTTTGACCCATATATCAGCTTTTCTGGAATACATACTCCAAGCAGTAAATTGTTTCCTTCCATTTACACTCAAAGTGAAGAAAGTGTCACAAGAAGCCCACCGCTAAACATGGACATATGTGATTTGAAGAGAAATCAAGGGCCATCTTCTGCTACTACAAGTAACACTTTCATGGGTATGTTTTAATTGGCCACTAATGTACTAATCATAAATGTACTTGCTATGGAACTTGTTTGTCAATAAATGATTATCTCATAAGATAGGGATGGGAATATTCTCCAGATTTTGTTGGACTGTAACTCTCATCATCCCTCACCACTGGCTATTCTCATAAAATAGGGATGGGAATATTCTCCAGATCCCTCACCACTGGCTATGATGACCCGGGGTTAAGGGAATTACAAACAACTTATGGAGTGCCACATGTTCCCCACCCCTTCTGTAAAAGTTATGTATCAGTGGTTCCCAATCATGGGTCCCCAGATGTTTGGGGGGGGTTCAACTCCCAGAAATACTGGCCAGCACAGCTCATGGTGAAGATTCCTGAGAGTTTTAGTCCAAGAACATCTGAGGACTCAAGGTTGGGAACCACTGGTCTAGATGAAGCTTTTGAATAACAACCTGAACATTTCTTATTTCAGTTATTTATTAAAGTAGGACCGAAGTATCCCTGGCCATAAATGTGTTTTTATTGGGCCAACTGTATTAGCATTGGTTCCATCTAGTGGTCAATCTTGGTATTACATCTTGGGAACGTGTATTTCTGGGTTTCATTTTATTTTATTTGAAGCAATAGATGAGTGAAACCATGGGTATTGATTCCATGGACATAGCAATCCTACTGTAGTATGTTTTTATGCTGACATAACACAGAAGGGCAACCTCCTCTGCACCATGGGCTAGAGCATTTTTCTAAATGTTATCTGGTATGTTATCTTCAAGGGGTAATCGGTATGGTTTCCCAGTCAGCTGTTGATCTATGAAAGGCAGCCTACTGCCATGTGTATACATAAGCCCTCACTGGAACTAAGGCACTTTTAGAAATGCATCTGTTACTAAGTCCATGACATTTCATACGAACTGTTTAAAAAAGTGAAGATTCAGATGCAAACAATGATTTAAGAGTATTGCATTGTGTTTCTGTTGGTTCCTTTTTTGTCTGCTTTTCTTCTTGAGAGGAAAGTTCATAGATTTTTCTCCCTCTCTCCCTCATTCTCTTTCAGGCACATTTGGAAAACCAATATGGAGACATCAGCTTGATTCCTTTCCGACCTCTAAGCCACCATCAATTTGGCAACTAAAAGCCTCCCCAAATCATCCTCATGAATCCTTAGACTTTGACTCAGAGTCGGAGGATGATAACAGAAAGGACAGGACGTTTTCGGACGGTGACAGTGGCCATTATATGTACAGGCAGGCAGCTAAACATTTTAGGACTCCTACTTTTCTGTCCTTTGAGTTGGATACATAGTTTTCCTACCATTTCCGCAAAACTGTTTTATGACCCAAAGAAATATACTACCTCAAAGCGGACATTATTTAAAGAGAGAAGGGGAAAAGGACATTCCGTTCTTCGTCGTTCTCTTAGAGATATGATTCTGAAAAAAAGAAATACATTTTATATGGATGCAAATTTATTGCAAAACATTATATACAGTTTCATGCAGATTATACATTCCTTATAGAATATATTTCTAATAATTTTATAGCTTTGTTTTAACCAAATAATCCCCTTTCTTTTGTAAATTAATTGTGTGAATAAGAACTATGCAATTGTTACTAAGGCTTCATTTTATTCAAATAGGTGCTGAAGTATTCCAAATGAATGCCAACACATGTACTGTGTGTGTGTGTGTGTGTGTGTGTGTCTGTCTGTCTGTCTGTCTGTCTGTCTGTCTCTGTCTATATGTGTTTCATGGATATTTGAAAGTTCAAAGAGGTAACATGGATGTAGTTGCATATAATTCTTTTATGAGTTGGACTGCTCTGTTCACTGGAACACTGATTTAAAAAAACACACACATGCAGCCAAGATTTGTTTAAAGAAATTAGAAAGGTGATTTCCTTGCCCCCTTGCCCAGTTTGTCTACATTCTGGTTGCCAGTGAGTTCTGATAATGAATGTATGCACAGAAGTACTTGTACGTTTCTCACTCTCTATAGATTCAATCTGTAAAAATGCTTTGTAAGTAACCCAAGTTCTGTGGTTGAGTCATCCATTCCGAACCACCATGTCTCATAGTTCATAGCAAAATCAGTATCAGGACTTCTAGTCCCAGGTATTAGCAAATCTCAGTTATTAATAATTTAGGCCTAGTCCAGAGGTCCTAAGTTTCAGGCACAGGTTTTCCTAAACAGAGGAGAATCCTGTCCACCCATTTCTTTCATGGGAAAACATTGGAAGTATGACTTGGATGAATGTTTATGTCATGCTCCGTTTGAAGAACTAGAATATTGTCCTGCAGATTTCCATGTATTGATAAGGATCTGCACTGAAGAAGCCTACAGACAAGCCACTTCATAAACAGACTTCTTTAAAGCAGCAGCAGGGTGCTTCTGCTTTCTTGTAAATCATATGATGCGCTCTTCCTAGGTAAAATGGGACTTTTCATTCCTCAGGTTTGTACCTCCTCCTCAAGTCCTGAGTTAAACAAAGTGATTGTGCTGCTGCATCCTGCACCTAAACACCTCTCTTAAAAGACTAGGAGCTGGTTTTTGGTGTGGCCATTAGTTTTGCGATACAGCACGTGTGCTCTGTGTAGAAGGTCCCAAGTTCAATGGTAGCAGGTGATGGGAAGGACCTCAACCAGAGACCTTGGAAGCCTGCAGGCAGTCAAAAGAGGATTAGGTAGAAATCCTGTGCTATCTTATCTCGGAATATGTTCCACTGAATTCAGTGGGACTTCCTTCTGGGTAGTCGACCTGAGTAGAACTGGAGAACCTTTTATTAAATTGACAAACAGATTGATCTGTCGCCTTCTTGATTGGGTTGCCTGTTTCTCCACATCTACCTGTTCGAAGTCTGAGCACATTCTCGTGATGAGAAACTTGGCACATGCTGGGACAGTGAGGAATACACTGTCTACTTCTACAGTGCCTGCTCCTGCTGAAAAGAGAGCGGCTGTACACTTTGTAGAAATGGTTTCTGGCTGTCTTAACATAGCAATTGTTCTGTCTGCTTTTCATCCTGCAAATACATGTCTGGAAACAGTCACATGTAGCTGGGACAGTGTTTGCATTTAAAATGTCAGCTCATTAAAGTGTCAAAAGATGATCAGTTTGCAACTTAATCTTCTTCATGAAACAGCTGCCAAAGGATAGAATGATGGGAAGGTTGTGGCTTGAATGCCACCTTGCTCTTCTGTTGGACTCCTGGTAATCCATCAATTTGTGTCAAAGAAGTGCCACTTCTCGTGTAATTTACCGTCTTCAGCCCCATTTTGTGAACACATTCACAGCAGTGTTTTGTGTTGTTCCTGCGTATACTGCTGTATACTGTTATGCTATGCGTATACTGTTGTGCTGTTATTTCTTAAGCTTTTTCTTCCGCCTCCTTATCATCTTGTTGGTTAGGAAACAGCAGTGTAGTAATGGGTAAGTAATTTACTTGCCTCCTTCCCATCAAATGCAACTGTGCTTTGTACAAAGTAGATCAGCAACTTGTGGGCCTTCAAGGACTTTTGGAGACCTGTGCTTCTAGGACTGACTGGAGTTGCAGAGTAACAACATCTGGGGAGCTACAGATAGTCCACCTCTACATCAGCTCATTCTGTTCTTTCGCTTTCATGACACTTTTGGGGTATTTACCTTCCTTTGTGGCCTGTCCTTTCTTCCATTTCACAAAAAGCCATTGTTGGAATCAAAGAGTTAAACTTTGAGGTAAGCTGCCTACTTCAAAGCATATAGTTACAGTAATAAGGACTAGAAACTTGTTTGGTTTTACTTGTTAAAAAACAAGAGCTGGAATTCTATTTTTTATTATTACTATTATTATTTTTCCTTGTAAAGGTAGGGTAAGGTAAGGGGCAGCTGGGATAGGGGTACCCTCGGAAGGGGTGGATTTGAATGGATATATTACAAATCAATAGTTTTCATAGTAATTCTGTACATTCTCTTCTACTAATAGTTCCACGTATCATAAAGAAATATAAGCTGTGAGTGAGAGGGAAAAATCAAATTCAGTCAGACATATTGTTATTCTAATTATTGATTATGTAGCTGATAGTCTTTATCCATCATTTATTTTGTCTCTTCTGCAACCATACAGATAACTACGTATCAGTCTCCTATTCTGTCTACCTCGTAACCATGTATATAATTGTGACCACATTTTATCAGTCCACTATTCTGTCTACCTCATAACCATGTATATAATTGTGACCACATTTTCCGATGGTCTTTTTTCTTTTTTGCATCTAGCCAATCTGATAGTATATGTCCATTTCTGTGGTTTCCAGGATTTTATCTATCACTTCATCTATTTGCATTGTTCTAGGGTCTCTCCAGTGTTTTGCAAAAACTATTCTTGCTGCTGTTATAATATGAATAGCTAAATATGATTTTTCAGAGTCTAGTATATCTGGCATGATATTTAATAGGAATAATTCTGGTACCATCAGTATTGAAGTTTCCAATATCTCTAATATCTCTTTGCCATCTCTGCATACATACATGCATGGTCAACGACTTGCTTGAAAGCTTCCCTACATACCGAGCTAGAATATTAGGCAGAGATCTCTGCTCGGATTGAACATTTTGTGACCTGTTACTGTTTCAAATAAAGGACAGGTTTATCAAGGCACATTTCACATTCCATGTTTCTCCCCAGAAATTAATGACCAATTAGATAGCTAGCTGTATGTATTCCTCAGTTAAGTTGTACAATTCAAACTTCTCAATCAGGTTAAAGCCAGTGATCTTCCCCCTTTCCAAATAAAATTACAGTTTCAATTCAGTATTTTCTCTCTTGGGTTAAAAATCAAAGCTTAGAACCTCTGGGTAATTAAAAACTAGATTACAGTAGAACAAACTTCCTCTGTTTTCATTGGTTTCATTCTAGGGTTTCTGAATACTCATATCAGCACGTGTCTCTCCCCATGCCCATGTGTCTATGTGGGCAAATGTTACAAGGGCACTTTAAAAAAAAATCCATTCACTTTGAAGGTGCAACTTTATATAGTTGTCAGATTTTAAAAGCTAAACTGAAAGCAGCTGTTTTGAGCAGAACTTTATAGGTTGCATCTTTCAGAGGAAAAGGCAGGAGCAAAAGGTTTTCTCTGCTGACCTCCCTCCCTCCCTCCCTCCACCAGTGAAGTCAAAGCCAGGTCCTTTCTTCCCTTCAGGAATCTGGTATCCAGATTGCAGTACAATTTCCCTCTTTAATTTAGACACCAGTATTGGAGACAGGAAGTCAATCCATCTTCAGTCACTGGTGGTCCAACTGTACAGAATGGATTTTTCATGCTTTTGTTTATCAAATTACCAGGTTTTCTGACTCTTATTGTTAATTTGTCTTCATTGTTGCCAGATGTGGTTGTGTGGTAGCAGACATTGATATTGGCATTTGGGGGTAATTAACGGTATTTTGAAAGAAATTAATTTTTTTTTCTGGGTTAGACATAAAGCCCTCTTGAGTCAATAATTCAAAAGGAGGGGGAGAATCCTAAATTAGATTTGTTCACTAAACCATGGAGGCCTCTGCTTCTTCAAAAATATGCGAACATAAGCATCATACCAGGCATTGCTGTGCAAGTATCAAATGGAAACACAGTATAAAATATGAATCTACTTCAGAAGGAACACAGTGGACATTTTTTGTTGCTGCTGGAAATGATATCCATGTGGAGTTGTCAAGTCCTAAATGTAGTTTCATATCAATTCATGTCTTGTCCAGGATTTGTGACATGTTTTATCTGTGATTTTTAGCAGCAGTCTACACTGTTGTTCTATTTATGTCTAACCTGAAGGAAGTCTTATTAATTTCAGCTGGGCTTGTAAGTAAATATAGGATATCAGCCTACATTTCCAAGTCAGTTTCTATGCATACATAGAAGAGACTGGATTTTGGAGCAGGGGAGAGATGAAATAAGACTCTGTATAAGAGCTTTGCAAATAAGGAATTTAGCTTATATTGAAGATTAGTTTTTGAGGGGGCAGGGTGTCCCTGTAATTTACAGTTCTTCTGCAAACAAAAGGCTGGCTTGTGTCTTGCCCCAACCCTCAGGTCTGCCAGTCATTTTAGAGGAGCTACACAGACCCCCTTTTTAGGTTTGGAGCAGAGAAATGATGCAGGGTTCCACCTTTACACCAGCAAAATAGGGCAATACATTTTAGTATCAAGCTAGACTAAAGAGTCAATTACAGCCAAGTGGACTGGAGAAAATTGAATCCTCACTGAGGTTCAGTTTCATGAAAAACCCTCTCCTCAGGGCAGCAGAATTCTCCAAGTGGCTGTTTGTGGTTTCACTAGGAAATAAACACGGGCAATTTTTGTATTTCTATCTATATTTGTCATGTAATTGGAAGCCTGCCAGTGTGGATCACTTACCTCATGGCCCTTCTATTATATGTTGAGGCAATAGCATACTGGCCTTCATGTTTACATGTTGTTTCTTGATTTGGATGCTGTATACGTACAAATGTGCTTTAGGCATTTTGAAAGGAAAAGTGATTTTTTTCCCGACAAGAAACCATTCCATTTGACCTAGTGTCCATTTTATATTGGGGACTTGGTTCTAAATTACCATTTGTCATGTAAAAATACCCTGAGAGTTGCAATTTTCTGAGGTACAATCAAGCCCAAGTATTTTTAATTTGTATTTGCACATAAATGCTTCCGTCTGAGTTCTGTTAGTAGGGAAAAGGCTGAGAGTTTGAACTTAACATTGTAGGCTTTTGGAAAGTAGACTTACCCTACTTTTAAACTGAATTTTCCTTTTGATTTGAACTTTTGCACAGATTTTGGAAAGTTGCTTGTAAGAAGAAGAAATATAATGACATGCATAAGGCATACATGGCTCAGAATTGGTAGGATGGTGCTCTCTAGTTGTCGCCTAACTACTGTAACTTCCTAGCTCAAAGCGCCTTGGTAAACCAGGGAGCAAGGCGAGCTCTGAAGCAGAGAAGGTGTTTGGAAGCAATCATGTCAACCACCCGGGTTGTCTCTGTATACCATCTGTTGACCTGGATTTCAACAGGGTCGCCTACCAGTTCAGCTGGATACCTTCCTAAGGCCTCTCAGAACCCTTCAGGGCCAAGAAGCTTACAAGCATTTTCACAGGTCTTTTCTCCTTGTGGAGGGGGATCGCCTCAACATGTTAAAACTCAGCAGGAAGTGATCTGTCCATGACAGTAGGCAGGAGCTCATGCTCCATACCCTAAGATCATTCTCGGTCTGCATAGTCGAGAATGTCAGCTTCAGGGTGTGACCTGCTATGTGTGTGGGGCCAATGACATGGGATAGGCTCCATGAATTCCAGGGCTGGCCCCAACAGTTCAGACTCAGCATGGGAGACCTCAACACTGCAGCCAAAATGAACTTGGCCAGTCCTGGCAGAGAAAGTGCTGGCTTGCAGGTGAAATGGTACATCAGCGCTATCCCAAATCTTGCCCATCAAGTACAAATGCTCTAGGCCTTAGCTTGAAAGTAAGGCAGTCATGCCGATATGGATGGAGTCCCTGTGGACAATTGCAATGCCCCCACCCACCCCTCCACTCTTCAGTCAGACTTCCCAAGTTCTGCATTTAACCATGTGTTGCTTAATAATCTTAGAAGAATAGCTTTAGGACATGAATTTGCACCTACTAAGATGTGTTTGGAATGCCTCCTAAGTAAACAAGGAAGCCTAACATAGTACACTCTTACTTTCAAAAAAAGCTTGCAATCCTGCCATTGTTCAAAATTCTGTGTTGGCTACATTTCCTTAAAACATTGAACAGCGTGGTGTTCTGCCAGTAAATTACTAGGGGATAGTAAAATGTCTGTACATTCCAAAACACAGAGCTATAATGATGTTTTGAAGAAATGCAAGTTTGCTAGATCGATATCTGAAGCTTTGACAGCCCATGGTTGGAACAAGGAAGGGGATCATCCCATGAGTCCTTCAAATTCTGGAGTTAATAGATTGGTTTATTTTAGGTCTGTGATTTACTAGAGTCTTGGAGGGTGTCATAGCTCAGTACTAAAAGACCTACATGACAGAAAAGACACACTCCTGTTATAAATTAGCAGGTGATAAGGAAGAACATAAAGATTCTGTTTCAGTAAAATGACAT